TTTAGCACGCATTAGGAGATAATAAATAATTATATGTACATGCAAGGGGCGCTCGTAGCAGAGTTGCTTGGAAGGCATTATTACGTCAGGCTGAAGTCGAATAGGGTTGACAAGGCTTTCTGAAGAAACAAGAGGAAACTTGCAAAGCAGTTACAACAACAGGACAAGTGCAGTTCGACGGCTAAAAGGCGAAATTTTAATAGTATGCAGCAAAGCTTGCTTTTAGTGCAATTTTTTATAAGCGAATACTCTTGTATGTGCATATGTATATACATATGCATATTGAAATTGATATATACATTGTATTTAGGTGCAGACAATGCTTCTAAATTGTGAGTTTGTATGTGTATATGAGAACATAATTGTAAACTAAAGGGCAGTTGATGCGATTTTTCTTTTATACAAATACATGCATACATATGTACTTAATAAATAATTGACTTCTTCTAAAACATATACATAAGCAAATTTATAAACAAGCTTACAAAATGTATTTATACAGAAAAGTTTTTATTGAAAACACATACATATATGTAGTCATAATGCAAAACTATCTAAAAATGATTCATATGAATCATAAAAACAGGAGTAGTATTAACAACTTAATAAATAAAATTAGAGAAATGCAACATATTTAAAGAATCTAACATAGGACATGTTCAGCGAAAATTAAGCGAAATTAAAACAAATTAATATAGAATATATATATAGAATGAAGGCATTCGAATAATAATAGCTAATAAGGTGTACAACCAATTCAAAACAAAAGATTACATATATATTTAAGAAACATAACATAGGACATGATATAAAAACCGAAATTAAAACAAATATATTTGCCGCTGGATGAAGGCATTCGAATAATAATAAATAATAAGGTATACAACAAATCCAAGGAAAAAACTATTTAACTAAATTGATGGAATTTTAAGCTAGTCAAATTCAAAAATCGTCTGTGCAAGAATGCATTAAAATAAAAGACAACTTGCTAAATTCATAGGTTAAGTTATATTTGTATGTGTATATGCAATGAATGAAATATAGTGAATTTTCTGTTAGCGCACAGTGCACTATGTTAAAACACATTCGGTAATTATTTTA